AAGCATTAATTCCCAAAATATACAAGCAGTTCATACAACTCAATACCAGAAAAACAAACAACCCAATCAAAAAGTGGGAAAAAGACCTAAACAGACATTTCTCCAAAGAAGACATACAGATGGCTAACAAACACATGAAACAATACTCAACATCGCTCATTATTAGAGAAATGCAAATCAAAACTACAATGAGAAATTACCTCACACCGGTCAGAATGGCCATTATCAAAAATAAATGCTACAAACAATAAATGCTGGAGAGGATGTGGAGAAAAGGGAACACTCTTGCACTGTTGGATGGAATGTAAACTGATACAGCCACTATGGAAGACAGTATGGAGATTCCTTAAAAAAAATTAGGAATAAAACCACCATATGAGCCAGCAATCTCACCCCTAGGCAGATACCTTGAGTAAACCAAAACTGAAAAAGACACATGTATCCCATTGTTCACTGCAGCACTATTTACAATAGCTAGAACATGGAAGCAAGCTAGATGTCCATCAACAGATGAATGGATAAAGAAATTGTAGTACATACACACAATGGAATATTACTCAGCCATAAAAATGGATGCATTTGAGTCAGTTCTAATGAGGTGGATGAACCTAAAACCTAATATACAGAATGAAGTAAGTCAGAAAGAGAAAGATAAATATTGTATTCTAATGCATATATATGGAATCTAGAAAAATGGTACTGAAGAATTTATTTACAGGGCAGCAGTGGAGAAACAGACATAGAGAATAGACTTATGGACATGGGGAGAGGGGAGGAGAGGGTGAGATGTATGGAGAGAGTAACATGGAAACTTACATTACCATATGTAAAATAGATAGCCAACGGGAATTTTCTGTATGGCTCGGGAAACTCAAACAGGGGCTCTGTATCAACCTAGATGGGTGTGACGGGGAGGGAGATGGGAGGGAGGTTCAAAAGCAAGAGGATATGTGTATACCTGTGGCTGATTCATGTTGAAGTTTGAGAGAAAACAACAAAATTCTATAATCAATTATCCTTCAATTAAAAAAATAAATAAAATTTTTAAAAAGTAAAAATAAAAGGGGTTTCATGATATAAAAACACATCATATGACTATTATCAACTTAAATTCCCAGATACCCATGAATGCATACATACTGATAGAGTGCTTTGGGTTTTGGAGGTTGGTTTTGCTTTCTGCTAGTTATTAAATTGTAGTGAAAGGCATTTGCATGAGCTCTAGTTCCAGTTTGATCTCTTTCAATCAACAGCAATAAAGCTAATGTAAAGTTGAAAAAAACAAAGGCAATGAAACTTAAAACACTGATTTCCCATCATCCATGTTATGGTAATTGTTACATATAATTATTATATGTATACATCATTAGCCCTTAAATGCTGGTGATGATTTAACTGAATCAGACTATACAGCAATTTACATCCTAGGACATTGTCAAAAACAGTATAGCATAATGGATACATACTACTATATATAAATAGGGCTCCCCTGGTGACTCAGGTGGCAAAGAAACTGCCTGCCAATGCAGGAGACTCAAGAGATGCAGGTTCGATCCCTGGGTAGGGAAGATCCCCTGAAGAAGGAAATGGCAACTTATTCCAATATTCTTGCCTGGGAAATTCTATGGATAGAGGAGGCTGGCAGGCTACATATAGTCCATGGGGGTCACAAAGAATCCCACATGACTGAGCACGCATGCACCGAGATATATAAAATAGATAACCAACAAGACCTACTGTATAGCACAGGGAACTATACTCAATATTTTGTAATAATCTATAAGGGAAAATAATCTGAAAAATATACATATATATATACACATATATGTATCACTGTGCTATACATTTGAAACTAGCATAATATTATAAATCAATTATACTACAACCTAAAAAAGAAATATATTGGGGATACTAGGTTGTATAATAATACAATAAAAGCAATTTTTAAAATGATTAAATTGCAAAGAAGAAAAAAAGTAAGCAAACAGGAGAGAAAAACACAGAGCAATCTGCAAGGAGTCAGTGGAGCCTAAGATTTGGGTGTGTCACCAACAGAGGCAGGCAGCTTAACAAAATGTGAAGGAAAGAGATGGTCACAGAGAGCCTTGCGAAAACTGCTATCATCACAGGCTGACTGTGCAGCCTCTGAGGATCGGCATCAATCCTGACGTGAGAGGCTTCATGTTGTGGGAGAAACAGACATCACTAACATAGTCCAGCTAAGTCACTTAACCAAACAAACAAAAACAAGCCCAAGAGCATTGGCTTCCAGGACTGCTACAATATACTACCTAAACATCCAGTTTTTAATAAAAGTTATAATATATACAAAGCATATTACTCAACAGCTATACTCCTAGGTATACACATCCAAGAGAAATGAAAACATATAACCACACAACCTCGTATGTGAATGTGCATAACAGCATTATTTATAACAGCCAAAAAATTTTAACTTGATGATGTCCAATCTGTTTTTTTTTTCTTTGCACCTGGACTTAATCTGAGGGAACCTGCTCACCTGCCTCAGTACACAGGTGTTTTTCCTCTAAAACTCTGATATCAAGCAAACAGATCTCAGAGAAGGAAGTGGAGGGAGCCACTGAGTCTTGGACAAATAAAGATGGTAAGCCAAAAAATGGACCAAATGTCTCAGTAGGAACAGAAAAGCTAGACTCCAGGCTTTGGGTTAGGGAAGAATGGGAAACTCTCTGAGAGAGTCCTGTCCAGGTGTGTTCTGCTTAGTGAAGTAAGGGTGTCTATCATTTCCATAGAGAATTATCTTTGCTCTTTCCTGCTGGCTCTCCAGGGAGGTATCAGGGTCTGTTTCGTATCAATTACTTCACCAGTGGATCCATGAACACTATAGACTAAAACCTGAAATAACACTGCAGCCTGGTAATCCAAGGCTATCACTTAAAGAGTTCATGTCTTTCAACACCATGACACAATTAATGCAAGAAAGTTAAAACTTTCCCAAGGAATTATTTCACATGAGTTTGTTTCAACAATCAAAGTCTCATTAGCATTCCAGAAGAAAGATGAATAGAGCCACAAAATAAAGCAAAAATATGTGGTGCTCACAACACATTATTTTGACTGTTTCAGAGTAAAAGCATTTGTTACAGAGAAGGAACAAGCTGGGTAGAGATGTTAATAAGAAACTGCAGAGGAAAAAATGTAAAATTCCTGAAAGTATTTCAAAACAATTTCTCCATTTTGCAATTAGAACCAGTGTTGCAAGGATAATTTCATGGCCACTGCCCCTGAGACAATAACAGGTCCTATCTGCTCTATATTCACTCCATCTCACGTACACACTAAGCCTCTTCCATATATCACCTCACTCAATCCTCATCTGCAACTCAAGCGGCTAGGAAAATTTCTAAAGTTCTGAAGTTCCTACTCTGCCTTGCAGCTCTGAAGCTCTTTAGATCCTCCCAATTCTGAGAGGTATAAATGAACTGAGGTTTCCTTTCAGCTGATCTCCACAAAAAAAAGCTCCAGTTAACTGTGATTTTCCAAATCTTTAATTCATCCAAATAAACATTTATTGAGTATCTATTGTCTTCCAGAGACTGTTCTATGCACTGAGGTTACAAAAAGATGAAGTAATCCACCCCAAGGCAACAGAGAGACTCAACAGGACAGAGAGTGGTAGGTAAGTTCAGGAGAAAGGGATCTGGGAAAACTTCCTGGAGAAGGTAAAACTTAAGCTGAACTTTAAAGGCTGACTAGAAATTAGAAAAGAAGGGGAGAGGGCAGGTATAAGAACAGCAAGCACAAAGGCACAGATGTAGGAGAGCCTGATCCAATCAGGGAATAACAAGCAGTTGATTACTGCTGAAAAATACAGTGCAAGGGGAGAGAGACATAACGCGGTCAAGGGGGTATCTTGTCACCAAGGGCCTTACAGAGACTGGAGTTCACCCAGATGAGGAAAGAAATCACAAAAAAGTGGCAACCAGGAGCCCTCTGCTATGAGACTGACGTTCATCCAGCAAACCTGAATTCACAGGCCCAATATTCAGAGTCCTTTAAGTTTTGTTGGCACAAATACCCCCTAAAACCCTGTCTGGTCGAAAGAGACCTTGGATCCTTTCCTCCCCACTCTGCAGACCGCCCTCACTTTCACGGCAAACTGATTCAAATTGCCTGTTAACTCCACGGCTCCCGTGTACACTCATGCTTGACTCTTAATATCAGCAGAGGGCACAAGAGGCCCGAGAATGCTTCGGAGGCCGTGCATTTCTGACAAGCCCCGGTGACCGGGATGCTGCTGGTCAGCCCACGGGGCACTTTTTCAGTAGTGAGTCCCTGGAACAGCACTCTTCCTACTACCCTAGAGGAAACGTCTCTTTTTCAAGTGTACAATCTACCATGGACCAATACTTTCAGAAAAGGTAGTAAAAAAGAATAATGAAAAGATTAAAAAATTTTATTTATTTTTTATTGAAGGATAATTGCTTTACAATATTGTGCTGATTTCTGCCATAGCTCAGAGAAAGTGAAATTTTAAAAAGACACACCAACTACTGTAAAGCACCTATAGTCCAATAAAAATTAATTTAAAATAAGAAAAAATAGATGTTAGATTTACTTTATTAATAAAATTTTTTAAATCAGTTAGCCCTGATCATCTTAGCTAATAAATGAGATAGGTAAAACACCCCCCTCCAAAAAAAGACACACAAACTATAGGTTCCAACATTGTATTATTGGGCTCAATAAATATAACATTAATCTAGCAAATAACACAGGTCAACTGAGCCCTCCGCTCATCACCTCCCATACACACAGCTCCAACTACAGAAGTACAGTTGGATCAGGGCTACTCAAAACAAGTTCTAACTTCCACCAGTAGATTTTATAGGCAAAGGAGACAATGTATTAGAAGACAAAGACTCTGCTTTGGTGCTTCATAAATATATTCCCCATTAAAATGAAGTTGATGGAAAATCACTCTTGATACACAGAGATACAAATACCTGACTACCCACCTGGCCACTCTTCCCCGGAGATCTCCCAGGCCAGAGAGCTGCCTCATCTCCAGGGTCTTTAAGGCAGAATTAGTTCCGTAGCTAATGTTGTCCCGGGCACGGATCTGCTCCTGGAGTACCTGGGCAACACACAAAAACACCAACGAGGTCAGCTGGGAACTCACAAGGTACCAAGACGCATTTGATACTTCTGGCAAAAATAAGAATGTTTAACTCCTTTCAGAAGAGGCTCCTTGGTAAGCATCACCTGATGTACACATCCACAGAGAACCAGGGGCTTAGAAAGAGACCTCAGAGATGTCACTCAGACCAAGGTCCTGCATTTACCAGTAAAAACACTGAGACTCAGGTGGCAGGTGACTGGATGGATCTCCCACCACAGGCAGAAGCAAAGCTGAGACTAGGAGCCTGGACTCGTGGACGGTAGTACAGAGGTCTTACCCCACTCCAGTGTGCTTTTTGATTGTCGTTGTTTTAGGCAAACAATCCCTAAATCTGAGAAGTAATAAATCAAGAAAAAGGGGCAAACAGTAACAGCAGACAAAGAGGTTCAAATGTCAGTCCCTCTAGCTGTGTAATCCTGAGCAAGTGTCTAAAGCTTTCTGAGCTTCCTTTTCCTCATCTGTTGATAGTAACGGTGACTATACTCTTAAGGCCACTTTATGGGAAATTACATAAGATAATGCATATAAAGCACTTAACACAATGCTTACTACACGGTAAATACAACAAAAGCTAATGATTCTTTCTAGTACCTATTCAGTAACAATATTTATACTGGAATGGTAGAATGCATCTCAGAGAAAAGACATTAAATGAAAGCAGAACTGCTGAAAGACAGAGTGACCCAGCACAAAAGCATGACTTCAAGGAGCATGCATCCCGGGAAATCTGCAAAGGAATGATGCTGATGAAGAGGCTACCCCTGAAGTTTATTGAGCAAGTCCTGGGAGGAGCCTGGGGCTGCACTACATGCTGATATGCACAAATCCACACAGAATTATGAGGGAGGTACCCTCAGGATCCCCGTGCTATCCACCAGGAAGTGAGCTGAACTGATACATCTGGAGAGCAAGTGGCTAGCTGGGACTGGCCCAGGCCTCCTGGCTCCAGAATCCATGCTCCCAACCATGCTGCAATGCTGCCTGCCAAACCAGCAAAGAATCTGAGACTGAAGCACTAAAGAGAGACAGACAAGAAAACTTGGATCCGAGGGAACAGGAGATCCCTCAAAAGCAAAAGTCTCTATCAGATGTTTCTCTGAACATTTCATTATCCTTTTGCTCATCCCTTTCTTTCCCTTCCCTCCTCCACTCCCCACATTCTGTCCTCCACACTCCCTGCCCCACTAACCACTCTCTTTCTGTCTTTCCAGAGAAAGCTTTTGACTTCTCAGAGCATCCTTCCCCTTTCAGTCGTTTTTCAAAAAATTTCCGATTTGTCTGATGTCAGCCTAAGTATTTATGAATTCTCTTTAGCTTTCTTTTTTTAACTTTTGGTTTTAAATTTTAAAAGATGAGCACCACATTCCTTTAACTATTTCTTCCCTAATAATGAAGATATTTTCCCTTTAGTATAGCATTTGCTGTGTGCATAGTTTGGGTGTAAAGTGTTTTTACTCTTTTAATTTCAGTTTTGAATTCCTCTTTGGTCTAAGGATATCTAAGTACCTTTAGAATTACTTAGAATTTCTTCATTTTCAAGTTTTCTTTTCATCACTTTTATTATTTATTTCTAATTGTATTAGTTTATGATCAAAATTATGGTCTGTAATATAACTAATTTTTTAATGTATTAAAATTTTCTTTGTCACATATAACTGATTTTTCAAAAGTTCTAGGCAAAAAAAACTACTTGAAGAACAAAAGTTTCAATATTGCATATTAGACTGAGTTTCCTGATTCCATTACTCATTCTCTTTTCTTGTTTTAAAGTTTTTATTTCTGTGGCTGCATCTGGTCTTTGTTGCAACATGTGAACTTTTGGTTGCAGCATGTGGGATCTGATTCCTTGATCAGGGATGGAACCCAAGCCCCTTGCACTGGGAGCACGGAGTAGTCTTAGCCAGTGGACCACCAAGAAAGTACTCATTATTCATTTTCTCTAAATCTTATCTATTTTTGCCTACTAGATCTTGAATTCTCTCACTGTAAAATGTCTTCCTCAAGTTCTTTCATTTGTAATGCCGTTTACTTTATTTAGCTGCCATTTTATTTGGCACATACAGATTGAAGATCAAAGTGGCCATGGCCATTATATAACAACCTTCCTAATCTGATTTAGGTATGTAATATTGCCTCATCTTACCTAATGTTAAAATTGCTACTATACTTGATAAATAATAAAGCAAATACTTGCTTGGTCTAATTACACTAGGCACTGTTCAAGTGCTGTAGGTGTGTTAACTCGTTTAATCTTCACAACACCCTTGGAAGGAGGGACTGTTATTATTCTCATTTCACAGATGATGAAATCTCTAAGTGGTCAAGTAACTTGCCCAAAGCCACAGTTAATACATGAGGGAGCTGGGATTGGCACCAGGAGTCCGGCTCCACTGACTGTGCTCTCAATCATGACGTTATGCTGCTTTCTATTTTTGTTTGTCCCTCCATCTCACTTAAAAAAAAAAAAAATTGTAGTTGATTTACAATGTTACATTAATTTCTGTTGCACAGCAAAGTGACTCAGTTATACAAACATGCACATATACATATTAATACATACATATACATATATGTAACAGTGTCATATTCTTTCCTATTATGGCTTATCATAGGATATTGAATATAGTTCCCTGTGCTATACAGCAGGACCTTATTGTTACATCTCACTTTATATTTACAATTTATGTTGCTTTTTGTTGTTGTTTCCTTTCTCCTTTCCCCTGTTTGGCCTGGTTTAATCAAGTTACCATGCATTACCTTTTCTCCCCTTGTTATCTGGGGAGTGTCCCTGGCCATTGATGGTCATGAATGGCTCAGCTCACCTTTCCCAACCTTTGTAACCATATCTGTACCTACTCCTGGCTCCTTCCCTGCACAACACTGCTCTCCTCCACATAAGGCACACCCATCCTCCTTCACCCTTCACCCAGGATGACTTATGTGGAAGGATTCTTACTTTTGTCCCCTCTCGTTCCACCCCACACCAACCATTCTTTGCTAAAATAATTCAGTACTTCTAGTTGCGATACAATTAGAATTTTGCTTGAATGGCCCTTTTTATTATCTTTTTTTTCTTCTTCTTTCTCTTTTTAAGGCTTCTGTTAAATTTATCGATGTCCATTGACATGAAATGATACAGTTTTGGGGTTTTTTTGAGTATAGTTGCTTTACAGTGTTAGTTTCTGCTATATAGCAAGATGAATCGGCCACACCACAGAGCAGTGAGTAGAGTCCCCTGTGCTATACATGTAGTTCTCATTAGAAGTGACAGGTCTTATTCTAAAGATCACCAATTATCTTTTGTGTTTCTCCTTTTCTTTACCCCCATCTGAGGATCTCTGGGCACCATCACTGTGTTTTGGTTAGAGTCCCTCCTCCAACATTTTCCTTAGACCAGACACTTGGATGAAAGACCCTCTGGGTCCCTGCTGCATCTGTCCCTTTCCTCCCTCATGGGGAAGGATGGGTGATAAACTGAAAGGGTATGAAATTCTTGACATGAATGCCTTTCCTCCTGGTGAACTGTGAAGCTGACAGGAAGTCTAATGCTTCTTTCCCTAAAAGTACCTTGGCTCCTTATGCCTAGATGCTCGTTTTTCATCTGAGTTGAGGATTTTTATCAGGAAAAAAAACTGTGGATTTTTATTTATTTTTTAAATACTTATTTATTTATTTGACTGTGCAGGGTCTTCAGTTGCAGCATGTGGGCTTTTTCAGTTACAGCATGTGAACTTTCACTTGCAGCAAGTGGCATCTAGTTCCCTGGTCAGGGATCGAACCCAGGTCCCCTGCATTGGGAGCCCAGAGTCTTAGCCACTGGACCATCAGGGAAGTCCCAAAAACTGTGGATTTTTTAAAAAATTCATTTCTACCTAGAACTCATTGAACATTTCAATTTGTAGTCTCAGATTTACCTTCAACTCAGGTAAACATTCTTCTTCTATTATTGTTTTTTCTCCCTCTTTTTTTTGTCTCATTCTGCAATTCGTATTATTCACATGCTGGCTGTCCTGGATCCGTCCTCCAAGTCTTGTATCTTCCCCCTCATGATTTCTCTCTCCTTGTGTCTGGCACTGATTTTTCAGCACTTCATCTACTTTTCCTCATAGGCAACTAATTAAATTCATAAAACCAATATCTGTGTCTCTACTGACTTTTACAAATTTAAGTTCAAGGAAGAAATTTTATGTTGTATTCAGATCTCCTTAATCTCTGTCTTCTTACTCAATTGGGGCTGTTATAACAAAATACCTTATAAATAATACACACTGAGTAACTTATAAATAAACAATAAATATTTATTTGTTTGCAGTTCTGAAGACTAGGAAGTCTGAGATCTGGGTGCCAGCATGTACTATGAGGGCTCTCTTCCTGGCTTCCTGACAGTTACCTTCTCACTGGGTCCTCACATGCCAGAAAAAGAGCTCTACTTCTAAGAGCACTAATCCCATAAGGGCCCCACACTCATGATCTCATCTTAAACCTAGTTACTGCTCAAAGGCCCCACCTCTAAATACCATCACACTGAGGTTAGAGCTTCAAACATGAATTTGGTGGGGGCGGGGGCCACATTCAGTCTATAACATGCCCTAATTATTTTTCACTCAAGATCCACCTGTTTCCTACTTCATTTAAGTCTGGTCTAATGACTGTACTTATTCTTCCTCCCTCTGGGTGCTGGGCCCCCTTAGGTGTGACATCTCTTTTTGTTTTCCACTCACTGGAGTAAGGTTAGTGCAAGGGTATGGTGGAAGAAGCTGAAGAGCTGGAGGTGCAGCCAGGGCCCTCACAGAGCCAGCATCCAGGTGAGGAGCCAGGAGGAAGCATCTCTGCATCCTCCTCTCCGAAGCCTGCCTAGCCTGTGAGGGCAGAAGACCAGCTCAATCACAGGGTGCACAAGCCCAGGGAGACTGGCCTCTCTCTGACTCCTAAACCACCGTGTCCAGGACCTCACT